CTAACCTACAATAACCTACACTAACCTACAATGACCTACACTAACCTACAATGACCTACAAGTCCCCAAATTCAATACCTTAATATCGACTCAGGTAGATAAAGACCACCTGGAGATCACCTGGAGACCACCTGGAGACCACCTGGAGACCACCTAATTGGCCACAGAGGTCTTTAACTTCCCTGTTTGTCTGTTTGTCTGTTTGTTTGTCTGAGTAAGAGCTGGAAACACACCCTCTTCATTAACTGGAAAGTGACTAACCAACATCAGTCTGGCTCCAGGAATAATGTGGTTACCTGCTCTTAAATAATATAACGTGTGCCTTAATTTGTTTCCTCAGTTCATATTTTATTATTATTAACAAAGTCTATTACAATAATGTTAAAAATAACCTGAAAATACTCTATACTTTGTTGTCTATTGTTAAAAGTTTAGAATTCCCCTGTTGTGTTGTGCCTGTGTTTTGCTAGAAAGAACTGTTGTCGTGTTATAAGATATATATATATATAAATTTATGTATATATGTTGAGCCACATGTTTATATTTACTTTGGTTTTTCTCGTCTGGATCTGTGTTTATTAAGGAAGGAAAAAAGTGCCATTGTTTAGGGAATAAATGTTTTGTGTATATAATTCATTCAGTAATTTTTTTCTTTATACCTGAGTCAATGTTTATTCAGGAAGTAAATATTTCTTTCATATGTGGGTCTTTATGTATATATATGTATATTCAGAGAAGTAAATCTTCCTTCTTCTTTCTTTTCATTCACTAAAAAAAGATGGTTACTATATATACCTAATTATTTGGTAATTGTATTTACTAAAGAGAAGAAGGGAATATTTATGCGTGTTTATTGTGTTTGTAAAGCAACTCATTTTGTTTATATGTTCAAACACGAATTAATTTTCTATCTCCCATTTCATTCTCTGTTTACTTAATGAGAAATATGCCTCAGAAAGATCCATTTTGTGTACATATTATTAAGAATGAGAAATATCTTCCTTATTTGTATATTTCCATTAACATTTCTGTTTATTTAACGGAGAAAAAACCCGATTCCTTGGAAATAAACTTTTGTGTAAATATAACTATTCACCTGTATTAAGACACAAGACGGGGTCGAATTTTACCTGTTAATTAGTGTTTTGTGATAGGCATTGTTGATCGGGATAACATTTCTTTAATAAAGTTTGTAGATAAAAAGGCTAAATAACAGGTTAAAATCCCCCTCTTAGTGTCTTAAGTAATTAGTTATATCTGTAATGTGTTAAGTAATAGTTATTTGAGTAATGTGTTAAGTAATTATCTAAGTGTGTTAAGTTTACTACCTGCCGGAGTTTACCACAGTGGGGCCACAAGTAAAGATGGACGTGTGTGTTACCTGCCTGCCAGACGAGGTCACTCACTCCTGACCTCGCCTCCTCCACCTCGTCTCCACCCCGTCTCCACCTCGCCTCCTCCACCTCTTCTCCACCCCGTCTCCACCTCGCCTCCTCCACCTCGTCTCCACCCCGTCTCCACCTCGCCTCCTCCACCTCGTCTCCACCATTAAAGGGATGAAGAAATATGGGAGAGACGTGGATGGGTGTGTGGGATGGGGTTATACAGGGTGAGAAGGTGCGGGATGGGACAGAATAAGAGGGAACAGTTTTAGGATGGAACAATGTAGGTCTGATGCCCCTTATTTACCTTTAAGGGCAGGGGGGGGGGGCATGAGGAGTACGAGTTTTAAGGGTTCTAAATGTCCTTTAAAATTTTAATGGGGCACAGATTTAAGGGTTAAATTGGGGTATTTTAAGGTCTAATAGGGTAAGGGTCTTGGTGTGGGTGGTGGAATTACAGAGTCAGAACGGAACGGGGAGTGAAATAACGGGGCAGAGATGAGGTACAAGTGTGGCAGGAAAAGGTGGTGGGAGGAGTGGGGGGGAGCAGTAGGGGGGTTGATGGGAGGAAGAGAAGAGAGGGGAGGAGGAGAAGGAAGAGGAGAGTAGGGAACGAGGAAGAGGAATTTAACAGGACAAGGTGAAAAGGAAGAAGATTGAGGAGAAGTTGTCAGGAACGGGGCAGGAACGGGGCAGGAAAGAGGTAGGAACGGGGCAGGAACAGGGCAGGAACGGGGCAGGAGGAAGAGGGCAAGAACGTGGCAGGAAGGGAGCAGAAGGTACTGAACTGGGCAGGAGCGGGGCGAAACGGGGCAGAAACGAGGGCAGAAACGGGGGCATAAACGGGGCAGGAGTGAGTAAGGGGCCTCGCTGGGGGTACCTCGGGTGTCATAAGTCTTCCAAGGTCGATAATCGGGTTCCCGCCGCCGCCGCCACCCTGTAAATAATGTACACTAGAGGGGTGAGTCTCCTCAGCCACCAAGCAAAAATAAACCTATCGCTGACACTGTCTTTTATTACTCTATAATACTTTATCATTAATCATTCACCTGTCTAATTAACCTGTTTTATCTCCTCTACCTGCCTATCTAATTATCCTGTTTTATTATCCTGTCTTG